AAAAAAAATTTCCGAAAGCCTTCTAAGATTCTGCAGCAGATAAGTAACAAATATTCCACCTCACATCTTAAGATTAAGGCTGTCCCAACGGGTTTTAAAAGAAATAAATTGGGGAAAATTATAAGTTTTCAAAATGAAAATTTCTTTGTGAGTACACGAATGCCAGATAATTTGTGCTGCATAGCTCCTTTTCAAATAGTAAGAATTACTGGATTTGTCGAAAGAGAAGAAATTTTTTTGAATGGGACGGTACTCACACACTTAAAAAATTTCTTTGAGCACCCCGTCCAATCTATGAATATGTTAGGGATATGCACTGGAAATATTTATGATGAAAACGCTGATAAAAGAGATTTTAAGATAGATGAAGTAATGTGCAAAATGATGTACTTTCCCTCAGAAAATGAGTATTTATTTATTCCTCTTTTACACGGCTTCGACAACACTTATTTATAGTTTAATAATTTCATAAAAACAAGATGTCGAAAAAAGTATTAAAAAGCTTGTGCACTTCAAACGCTAATTTTGAAACTCACACACAAAATCACATACAATTTCGAAACACTGTCACAAATGATTCCAAGGACGCGCAAATAAATGGTAATATTATTCGTATTTTTTATTTTAAATTTACTAATTTTAACTTTCCTATATCTTGCAGATTTACAATTAAGAATCGATAATTTAGAAAATACGGTAAACAAGCAAAACGAAATCATTATGGAAGAGCTGGCCACAATAAAGGCGTACACCCAACAGCTTGTTTTGTTTAAAACAGGAAACGCCGAAATAATAAAGCTGTTTCCAATAAAAACTGAGGAAGATTTGAATAACTTCGAAAATTCAGAAAATTACGATGAAAATGAAATGGTAAGAAGCTGCTTAGTTATTTTCCTCAATTTAATTTATACAAAATATACTGTCTTTCTTTTCTAGATCATGACTGTTCGGAAAATAATAAAAAAAGGCGGTTTGAAGCGAAATTTGTCGAGCCTCCTGGGGCCAGAGATAATAAAATCTTTTAATTATGATGGCGTGCAGGGGAAAAAGGCTTTCCGTAACTTAGCTGTGCTTAACAATATATTTTTTAGTAAGTACATGTAAAGATACAGATTACGTTAATTCATATTTTTAGCGCAGTTAAGGTTTTAAAATGATATTTTCCCTCTCAATATTTCAGACGGTGCCGAAGACGTGACAACGCGGGAGCAATATCGATCCGAAATGAAAAGCGGATTTAAATTAAGCAAAAGTCGACAATATAAAGCAACTCATTTGCTTAAGAAGCAAAGTATTTGATTGACCTTTAATTTAAGTAATTCTAATATTTATTTTTATAAGCGTTAATTTTTAGTTTTTTGATCTCAATGAATTCAACTGTACCTAATTGCAATACCTTAATTTTTATATTAAATGAATTTCTTTGTATAAGTTAATATTTTTTAGCTAATAAGCCTTAGCGTTACAAACGAATGTTAAGTGCATTTTGAGTTGCAATAAAACCTCTTTTGAAACCTTAGAGAAGTATGTATTTTTTTAACTAAAGCAGCACTTTTAGAAGAACTGCTTCAAAACGCCTTCTGAAGTACGTCTTCCAAAAGCCCATCTGGAAGCCCTTCTGTAGGTAGCGAAATAAGAAGGCCTTCAGTGGTATGTTCTACAAAAGCCCGCCTGGAAGACCTTCTGTAGGTAGCGAAATAAGAAGGCCTTCAGTGGTGCGTCCTACAAAAGCCCTTGTGGAAGCCCTTTTATGGGTAGCGGAAGCAGAAGCCCTTCAATTTGTCCCACTCCATACAAAAAAGAAAGGAAGAAGGAATGTAAAGTGGAAGGCCTCTTGACTCCCAGGAAGGGCTTTTTACACCTAAAATTATCTACTGGGGAGCGTTATTCCTGACAAAATCCAGAGAAAAAATGTCATGATTCCT